CACACCACACACACACACACCACACACACACACACGCACACAAACACTCACTCACACACACACACACACACAAACACACACACACTCACACATACGCATACACACTCACAACACAAGTGCCACAAAACCACTCCACGAGGACCTATTACCTCAGAATGAGAAACCTATAAATGGCCATGACGTAATAGAATTTGTTTTTCTCTGAACATGGGAGCTGGACTGCCAAGTGGTCACTTGTCCAGGCTGGGATTCCTTCCCCGCTGCACGCCGGGGCTCTGGCCCCTGACCACAGATGATTGACCAGACCCGCTTATCGATTATCAGAATTCCAATGACGTAATGCCCAGACTTGGCGCCTGCACTGGTATTATTACTGCTAAGTCTTCACTGACCTCTTTACTTAAATGGCTACCCTAGAATTACAAAGTTCTATCTGCTCAGTACAAGTACCTAGTTTTGAGAAATTTGACGTTAAAAACTTTTGAGTTTCACAACATTTCAAACTTTTTTCGAATACAGTTCTTTAAATATTTTAATAGAGCCTCCGAATAATCTGACGCTTTTGATAGAGCAGATAGATTATTTGGTTTCTTAGTGACTCAAGACGACCAAACATGTCAGATAGAACTTTGTAATTCTGAGGTTGCAAAATGGCATTGCTGCCAAAGGTCTTATATTATAGTGATTCGATCTATTTACCGACGTTAATGAGCTGTGCTGAATAGAAGTGCGACAGGAACAGGATAATACAAAGAATCTAAGTACCGGTATGTAGCCTACATTGTACAGCCTTTCTGAGACTGAGAGCATCCGAGCAAAGAAATGAACGACGAACCAAGATCATTTTTATCTAGTTTCAGTCAGAGTTTTACGGCACTTACATGACAATAAGGTTACTCAAGTGCCGAAGATTAAATGTTTTACAAGAGAGTAATTTAACTAACACAAATAAAAAGAAGAGATAAAGACGACAAAAGGAGCAAACCACACCAGTGTACCGGTCAACCACTTACTACCACGATAACCGTTGTTTGTTGTAGATCTTGCATTTGATGATGATGGCGAGGAGGGGGAGGAGGAGGAAAAGGAGGAGGAGGAGAAAGATGGTGATGGTGATGGTGATGATGATGATGATGATGATGATGATGATGATGATGATGATGATGATGATGATGATGAATAAATGAATCGTTATGAGACACATTTAAGTCATTTTTATTTTAAGTTGGGAGGACTTCAAACTGTCTGCTGTTAAGAAGAAACAGCGCTGAGAAGTAAACAGACGGAACTGCTCCATGAAGCAAATCTCCAAAACCTTCGTCCGTTGGTAGAGTTCGTTGATCAGCTGTACCTAATAAGGGTTTTGTTGCACTTACAATACAATAGATTCATATTTATAAGTGCCGGAGATCGAGGTGTTTCTAGAGAGTAACAAACACGAAAAAGAAGGAGAAATAAGGACGATATATGTTTGATAGAAAAGAAAGACCAAACCACGACAAAGCACCCACCAACCACCCACAGTATCTCGCAGCTGGCGCAGAAGGTCTACTTTGCAGTTCTGACCAACATCTAGATATAGTAGTAGCAAAGATTATGTTAGAAGAGAATCTTTGGCAGTAGTAACAAGTAGTAGCGTATCCACTGGAAAGAGCGTCCATGGCAACTCACTGAAAAAGAAATCTCACCCCTGTCCAAATAAATGAGACACGTCTATGTATTTTGGGTAAGGCTGGAATGTGCTACCCTTCGAATTTAGTTTACTGTGAGAACCATTCCATTACTGAGCTCGTGTTTTCGCAGTTCTGAAAGGTTTGAACAGTTATCTTAACCAATTTTGAAATAATATTACATG